TTTTTTCGTTTCAACCACCTTCCAGACCTTAACAATTACCAGCCAGTGGCTTTGGGCTAAAGATGTACTTGAACTTACTGACATCAGAAAGATCCCCCAAAGCCTTTGAATTTTTATTTAGAGCATTTTCTGTTTGGCTCCAATTTGGACTGTAGCATGCACGATTCAGAACAGCTTCTGTCCTAAATGCATGATCTGTTTGTGTCCCTCAGCCATAATAACACCCTGTGATCTGTACGGCCTTCATCGTACACATCAAAAGGCGTCTTTTTTTCCCTCTTTTTTTGGTTTTTCTTTGTCTGCAGTTTGCAAATTTAGACGATGACGTTACTGTTACCGTCTTACCGCAGTGAGATTACATGTGCCAGCTGTTGTGTTGCTTATCTGCCATGTAAAGTAGTTAAAAAGATAAAAGCCTGAAAAAGATGCCTGCCAGGCATTATTAGATCATTTTTACCTCACAAAATTGCGTTTCATTATCAGTTCTGTTGTGTTCCGGGGCAGATGCTTGATCTTGATTTGTTGCTGATTTAGAGGAGATTTAAAAAGTGGCTATTATCGTATAATTGAATATGCTCGTATGCCTGCGCAGGTTACCAAACTGAGTTTTGAATTAACCACATTTTAGTGGTAAAGAACGGCGCATCACTCTTGTTGAGCTCTCACCTCTTTAGTGCAGCCTGGCTCATAGCAGATGACTAGCGATTATGATCCAGTTAAATTGTCAAGTGTTGTAGGCGGACACAGACTGAGTGTGGCATGTGAACGGTTCACTAGTCGATTAAATGTTATACGCTACAGTCAGTTAAACTCTTTAATTAAAGCTGGCACGCCTCCACCTCCAGAATACTTTTTAAAAAAATGGACCCTCAGAGTTGTTCAGGGTGGAAAACTGTCTACAGTGGTCGACTGTAAACATGTTTTTTAACGCTGTAAAGTTGGAGATTTGTTACGTGGGACTGTACAGGTCAAAGACGCGTTTGTTTCCTTGCATTTTACAAATTTAGAGCTTGACAAGAATTGAGAAGAATAGGGGAACTGGAGGTATTGGCGCTTTTTTGGCTGCAGAAGTTGCTCCTCGGTCCGACCTGACAAATGCAGCAAATGCAGCAAATGCGAGCGTTTCCTGGTTCAGCTACGTTGAACTGCATGGCCCGTGTGGAATAATTTCGACCAATAGAAATGCAGAACGACACGAAACAGCATATAAGTACACGTGAAAACCATGAGCTGCCTCACAAATGTAGGCAGGGTGCAGCGGCCAACCTCCTGTGTGGAAGGGCATATTAGGACACTTTAAATGAAACTATAGTCAAACAAACGAGTACGACGGGAGTACAAATTTAAGAAGACAAACATATTTTGTTATTTCAAAAGCTTCCAGAGAAGCATGACGGGGACTTAAATCTCAAAGCATATTTATATTTGATTATTCAAAATCAACTGGAGAAAATTAAACAACCAACAATTGCAAACTAGGACACAACAGATGGCAAACTGATGAACTTGAACGTTGATTTATTTTCCATCCCAAACTGACATAATTCTATCCCAGCGGTGCATGCAGCACGGTTTTGTGCGTCTGTTGAGTAGAAACTGGGTCAGTACAAACCCAATTCCCCCTTTACAGAAAGCAGAATGAGGAGCAGCTATTAAAGCTGTGAATAATCCATCACATCAGCTCAGACGAAGGAGGAGAAGAGAGAGAGAAAATGGACGTAGGTGGTGTCGGCGAACTCAGTCGGGTGTTTGTAGCTCAAACTGGGATGTCACCTCCCTCACCCGATACTCGCTTAGGTTCCAATTAACATTTGGGGGAGCTGGATGGCCAAAGCTGCTGCAGACTAACATGATCAGCACAGAAGATGTTCTTTTAAATGCCAAGTGCAAAATTACAGTATTCAGTGCAAAGTGGAGCCACTGTGACATTTGGCAGAATACAAAGCAAAGAGCCAAAGTTTATTTTACAAGTTAAAATGACAGATTCTCAAAAATCAGACGGTCTAAAACAATCTTGTCCCTTTAAGCTTTCTAATCCGTTTGTAGAGCAGTGGATATTTTAAGGATATAATAACCATTACATTGATTCTTTTCATTTTCTAATTATCTGCTTGTCAGCTTTTCTACTTTAAGATGTAGATTTCTGAACATTTCTACATAGAGTCAACATTTTATCATCACTCCAGTTATTCATACAGACACACGACTGTATACAAGTACAGTTGTGTGAGTTCTTAGCCAAAAGGCTTAATTTCAGCAATATTAAAGAGAAAAAAGTGCAATTGACCAGGAAGCTATTGTATTGTTGCAGCATCTCTGGGGACCGGCCCATTGTGGTAAAGAATGAGTTGAGATTTACTGATCAATATACGCTTTATCCTCACCCGTGGCCACGAGCTGGGAGTAGTGTACTCTGAAAGGCCGAAGAGCTCAGTGAGGGGGGGCTCAGAGCAGAGCCACCGCTCCTCCACACTGAAAGATGTAGTTCACGCCTCCCGGACACCACCTATGCGACGCGTTTCTGGCACGTCCTACCCAGAGCACTCCAGGACACCCTGAACGTCTCAGTGTCCTGTGAAAGTGCTGTTGGGTATAGTGGGAAGAGGGAGGTCAGGTGTCTCTGCTTCGACTGCTGCCCCTGTGACCCAGACCTGGATAATTGCTTAATCTGGATTTATACTCCATGTCTGATAAAATTAGGTTTTAGTGGCATGTGTGGTTTAAGTAGATATGATCCTGTCTTGCTGAAAGAATTATGAATTTAACCTATTGAAAAAGTCACGCTGCGATCCTTCACGTTACACCTCAGCCTTCTCGAAGCGCTCTTCACTGTACAGTTGCCGTCTTGCAGCATTACCTCAGAGATCAGAGTCTCAAATGCTTTGCTAAGAACGAGCTTTCCCCTTTCTTGCCTGCCAGACTCCATAAAATGTTGCTAGGCAACCTTCAGTGTAAGTTAAGCGTGTGTGCGCGACGTGCACCTTCTTCAGCACCGTCATGGTTCACGTGCGCAGCAGCAGCAGCTCTGTAGTTACAGTAGTGACCTGGAATTAAACAGATGTCGTTTCACATTCGATTATAGCCAAAAATGGTGGGGAGAATCAAAAAACAACTTGGGACTTGGGAGCGGTGACGTGACATCTGCTTCAAATATGATAAATGTGTCACAACTGACTGAGTCCCGTCAGCTTCCTGAGGTTTTGTATTCACGCCAGAAGTCTGGTGACAGACGCAAATCCTCAGCTGAGCGGCTCCAAAGCAGCCCAGCACCACACACCTAGAATGGAGATTTCACACAAATGGGGTTGGGGGGGGGGGTTTGTTGTCTCTCTCTCCCTCTCTCTCGTGCACACCATGTTTCCATGGCAACAGCACTGACAGGAACTACGACTGGCTCAAGCTGTTATCAGAGATTCAAGCGGAAATGTATGTGGAGTTTCCAGTGCAGAGATGTTACGCAGTCATGGAGTCTGTGCTCTGTCTGCCTTTGGTTTATGCTTCTCAGGCTGAAGTTTCCTGTTGCTGCAAAGCAAAGTCAACTTTAAACATGTCCTTAGTCAGACTCAGTCATGCAGAGGATGGAGGGGGAAAAATAGGAGAGGAGGGAAGAGGTGGGAAAGCTCCTCAGGAGACAAATCCCTCCTCTGTTGGAGGCCGTGATGCTAATCCACAGTGAAAGAGCGTCGTGTCCGTCTCCCACTCTCTCTGTTTCTGCGTCTCTTTTATCCCGCCTCACTGTTCCCCTCGGTTTTTTCTTTCCTTCTCCTCTGTACTCCTGTCCCTTAGCATCCCTGTATTAGGAGGGTTTACCCAGGATTTGCACACGAGTCACTGCATGATATAGATTTCCCATTGATGATGCTGAAGAGAGGCATAAAACAGTTCCCCGCTAACAGGGACATCCCAGTGAAAATCT